ACACTGACACAGCCCAGTCACAGGGCTCTAGACTCTTACAGTCCGTGTGGAGTTCAGTACACTCCCCCATATTCATTCAGCAATTGTTTTAGAGTGATTCATGTTGCCCTTGCCCAAACCTGCACCCACAGGACAGCCTTTATAACCACCCAGCTACAATATTGGAATGCATCTGCTGTAGCATTAACAGAACCACTCACACATGACCACCATAGCCAGTATTGTTGGGGCAGACTCTTGTGCAGACAGTCCACTACTGGGCTAGAGATTAGTGTCATGAGAAGTGGATTCATTCCTTTTCACACTATCTCCTCACTTTCTGTGTGAGGCCTCTCCTGTCTCCTCACCTGTAAGCTGCAGTCTTCTTCTATTATTTGTGTCAGATCTCTGCTGTCTCCTCTACCAACAGAGCGGTGTTTTCTGCTCTGTTGCTGTTAGAACCCTACTGCCCCCTAACCTTGACATCTCACCTGTCTCCCTCGGGTCTGGTGTCTCTTTGCACCCTGTGTCTTCATCTCTCTGTTAGCATTGCACAACGTGAGCTGGTCATGTACTCCATTTGTATTGTCTTCAATGCTTTAAAACATTTTTTTTCTGCTGTGACAGGGCTGAAACCATTTTGTAAATTCATCAAACTGTAGTTAAATGGGTAAGTAGATAAAGGGTGGATTTAGGCTAGAATTTGTCTTTGCTGCTGAAAAATAATGTATATTGAAAGAGGAAAAGATGGAACTGCAAGAATAGCTATCTGACTTTTATGTCTCTCTTTTCTTTTAAATTGGCATGTGTTCCTTTCTCCCTAACATCCTCCTCAATGCTTTCAGTCATGTGTAAATAAAACAGTTCTACTTGCTTCCAGTCTGAAATTCCAAACTGCCACTGGGAATCAGATCACAGCCATCCTCACACACACTCGCACTTGAACACACGGACATGTGCTCTTGCACACAAACTTAAAAAAAGAACTCGATAGCATATCACACAAACGACACCTGCATAGCTCCCGATAGAACAGTGTCCGAACTGTAGCAAAACCTATCGTTTTAAACACGTTGCCACAGTGGGAACACTTGTGAAATGATAGTTAGGGCTGGTTGTTAAGTCCGAGCGTTAAAGTGTTAATCTAGACTCCTATTACTGGTTCACCTGTTTCAGATTTTAGATTTAGAATAGACCTTGGATTGAGAAACTTGGATTAATTTTAAACAAGCATTAAATATAGACAGTGATTTAAACTTTGGTGATTAAAAAGAAACAATCTTTGATTTTAAACTGGTTTAATGGGTTGCCCGTATTGGAGGCTTGAGCGTCTATAGCGTATACGATTAGAGTATAACGAACCGAGTAATGTTTTGTAAGTGTGAGAAACAACTACGATAACCTGTCATTGTTTTTTTTATTAGAAAGTACAATATGTTGAGATTCTGAACACCAAACGGCATTTAAAACACTTTGTTATGCTTACAAAAAAATCGAATTGTAGGAATTTTTCCGATGTATTTAAGGGAAATATTCTTGAAATCCTGCAGTTTTTTTATTTGATTTTAAGGGGGGGGAGGGGGATGATGCATCACTCCGTTTTGCCCGTTTTTTTCCGTTTTTTCTCTCTTCAAAAGGGAAGATAAATCTAACACGACGCGTTATCTTGCACCGTAGAAAGCTCCAGTGTGGATTAATCGTTGAACTTTGAAGATACAGTTGGGATTTTGATATACTCGATCTCGCAATTACCTACTGCTGATCTGCTGAGCGCTCCCGAGCACAAGGTGTGAGGAAGCTCGTGACTCCGGCGCGCGGGCTGGCGCTTTGAATTGAGATGATCAGACAGGTCCGCTCCGTACAGTAACAGAAGGCACCACTGCGCAGTGCTTTTTGACAAAGTCTCTTTCAAGGTCTTTGCTTGTACTTTTTTTTTTAAATGAACTTGAAGTCTAACAGCTTCTTAACGTTGAAACTGACATTATTAGTCTTGCTTTTTCGACGGACGTTTCCAGATATTTGACGATCTTGCATGGTGTACGTACTGAACTGTAAACCATAAATGCACGACTAGTTTTTCGCAGTAGGTGCTGTTACGACATTGCCCCAATCCCCCACAGAGACAACCACACACACACATTCGTCCGCACACAACCACACACACACACATTCAGTCCTTGGAACCTACACACGCATCGATTTTTCATCAAGGGGACAGAATCAAAAGGATAAATATGACAAAACGCGTCAGGGAAAAATGAAACAAATAATAATAATTTGCCCTTTAGTCATAGAAGGTATTTTCTCTTCTGCCGTAACAATATTATCAAAAGCTTTCAGAAGCGCCACACATTTGTATTTATAAGCGTGTATGGTCTGTTCCTAATTCATTTCTCTTTGAAATACAATAGAATTCTCTATGATTTTCGTATTATTTTCATTGTAATGTATGAAGCCTGTGTAATATTCATACACATAAAGACTGTGGTTCACAGTCATTGCAAACATACAGTAACACGCATATACAGAATCCCGAACCCGTCTCTGGACAGCAGGACGGGCTCCGACGGAGGCCAACTGTCCGGCATCCATCGCTCGACCTCCTAAGAAGATGTGAGCAATAATTCCCGAAAGCGACGGCTTACATTCACAAAGCAGCTGGAGCACTAAAAAAAAAAAAAAAAAAGATAAACGTATCTGCACCTCCCTGTAATCAATTCTTTAATTCGGGCCAGACAAAATGGCCGATAGGCATAAAATAAAGGGGAACGGGGATAATGAGAAGAGGGAGAGCAGACGGATCCGGCGGGGGTAGCTGGACAGAGAAATATGCTAAATGCTCAGAAACCCTCGGCCGCCTGACACGTCTGAGCGGCAGCACAATGGCTTCAACCTGCACTTGCCCCCAGCATCACTCTGCCAAAATGGCTCAGCCGCAGTATAGCGGTATAACGCCGGATAAAATCATTTTTCCCCGTTGCGAATTCGCTCGGCTAGTGAAGGAGGCAGGTGCGTTTACCGTTCGCGGCCGGTCGGCTCTGGCACTGCGTGGCGGAGGCGTGCGCGGGGCGTCTGGGATGCGGATGCGGGGATGCGGCGCTGTTTTTTCCCGAAGCCGGTGTATTCTGTCGCCGGGCGGACTCGCTTCTTCCCCATATAAAGGGCTACCGCGTGGCCCCTCCCCCAGCCTTGCAATGCGCCCCCCCTCCAACCCCCCTCGCCACTTCACAGGGCGAGCAGAGCCGCCGATCCGAGGGACAGTGCCGATACACCCTTTCAGCACGCCAGCCTGTTCCACCGCCGGTCTTCAGCGCCGAGCGCCTGACACCGGCGCGACGCGTTCTTCCATCAAAAGACATACATAAACGCGAACTGTCAAGTGTGAGAAGTGTTAAACCATTTGTGTTATGTAACAACGTAATTATACATGTACATTTTAGTGTTAGTTAAATGATGTACGGATATCAGGATTGGATATTAAACTGTACCACAAGGTCACCGTTCCCTGCTTAAAAATGGTTCAATAGGATGTGCCAAAATCACAATAACATTTCGCACAGCATGCGTACTGTGCTGGCGATTGTAGCTCTATTGATTCATCATGGAATTTCCCCAGTCCGATCAGATCGCCGATCAGATCGCCCTGTTACCCTCACTTGCCCTGCCTTCCAACCAAGAATGTGCGCTTAACCCGTCTCCTTCAGCACTGCGCTGCGTGCGCAGCTCCCGAGCCCGGAGCGCGGACCTGCGGGAGAAGGAACACGCACCAGTACCCCGCGTTGGACTCTGAAAGGGGAACCCATCGCGCGATGATTACAGGGTCCCCTCTGAGATGAGCAAGCCGGACGGGGGGGTCGGAGAGGAGAGAGAGGGAGGGGCGCCTACTAACCTCATACACTCGCATACTGCACTTTGCGTAACAGGACTGTCAATAATACCATGATTTACCACACCCACCGTTTATCAGAGTCCCACAAGGCCAAATCCCAGATTTACTGCGCAGCGATGACCGCCGAGAAGGCGTTGAATTAGTGGTAAGAAAGAGCCTTGCGGAGCTGAATCCTGAGACTCCGGACTGGAAGATATACCTGCCGTGGTAAACGTGTCAGGGTGACGCCGGGTTCGGGCTGAATTCAACGCTCTAACATAAAACCGGCAGAGCTCTCGCTCGGCAGAAGGCATCTACCTGACCTGCTCAGATCATCACTTGAAAGTCATTATTCACGTTAATTGGTTATTCCTGCGTTTCCTTCATAGGAATAGCTTGTGAAGTGGCTTTGGCTCAGTAATGTCATCTACAGTACAAACTTTACTCTGCTTTGCCCGTTTTTCAACATGATTCTCCACACTTTACTGCGTTTTTACTATGCTCTCGTGGTACTTTACCGCACTTTACTGGGCCTATCCTCTGCTGCACATTACTGGGCTTTAAGGGCGAACCTTTTTAAGCTTTAACCGAAGATGCTGTCCAGAATACTAACTAAAACAAGCAAGTGCCCTTTTTAGAACAGTAACCTGAAAAAACCCTCACAGGTGTAATGCTTTCTCCAAGTCACAAAGCTAGCCAAAGCGAAGGCTGAAAGTGAAGATAGTACAGGCACCCTGTCACACTCCTTGATAAAATGTTGTGAGAAAATGTCAGTCAGGACGCCGTGGAGAAAGGCAGTGCAGTTATACAGTAGTTCCTCGTCAGTTTCTTATGTGAAGCAATTAACGTCCGCTCTCTACAACAGGATTCTCACTAGGATAAAACTCAGGTTTTATGTATTGTGCAAATAACACAGTATTAACATCCCGTACACAGCCGTGGTCCATTTCAGAAACCCAAATGCATTTTTCTTTTGTAGTGTCCATGTGGTCAGGAGAGGGTGGATTGCGCAATACAGAAGCTGCAAAGTTGTTGTCAATAAGACCGTGCGGGCGTAGCTAGTAACACTGCTAGTGATAAACTCCAGCAGCATGACCAAGGGGAGTTCAGAAAGAAAGCAGAAGCTGTTACATGTCCGCAAAGGAAAAGCAGACGATGCTTGGTTGATTAGGATAAGAACCTTGCTAATACAATTCAGTGTTCAGCTCTAAAGTCTGCCTGGTTACTGCTACAGATAGATCATACACAGAGACAGAGATAGCTGATAGCAGGGTGGGAGAGGTGTGGTAGCCATTGAGATTTTTGATGTCATTGCTGATTTTTACTTGCTCTGAATTCTCTAGGTCTCTAGTTTGCATTTGAACTGAAGTTGCATTGGAACCGAAGAGGGAGGGAAAGGTGGGAGTGACGCAGAGGGCACTAAGGGAATGCAGAGATTTAGAAAGAGGGGGACAAGCAGGCGGGGCTGTGATTGGAGATGACGTGGAGACAGAGTAAGAACATTACCTGCACGGTCATTGATCCATCAAAGAGTCAAACGATTGATTTAAATTACGAGAGCAGGATTGTTCCAGTCCTGTACATCAATACCGAATCTATCAGGGTATGCTGTTTTTTTATTTTAGTTTAAGATTAAAACTCCTTTAGTTTTATTACAAATTAGTTATATTAATTACTTTCAGTTTCGGGATTTGTTCCGTCTTGATCCTATTCTGTCATACTGAAGCCTGTGGAATAGACAGATCTGCTCCCTATACTATGGACGTGTGAAGTCACTTGCCTTTAGATGAATTCTTCTCAAGCGCTGTGGCAGCGAATCCCCGGTTCAGATCCCAAGTCGGGCAATCGAGTTATTTACTGGCGTCAGTCTTAAGGCTCATACAAGGCACAGTGTACTCATTTAGGAAGGTACAGTATGGGATCAAGTACCAGACCAGGAGAAGTGGACTGAAAACAAACGCAAGGTTCACTGATAGATTTCCATTTCGAAGGTGATAATGTGACAATAATAACTGAGTTTCTTTTCTTTTCTTATTCTGGATCTCAAGCGGATATGTCAACGTCTCTGTGGCGCAATCGGTTAGCGCGTTCGGCTGTTAACCGAAAGGTTGGTGGTTCGAGCCCACCCAGGGACGATGCATTCCTGTTTGCTGCTTTGTTTCTTTTCCATATTTGAAGAAATAGAATCCCCCAATTTAAAAATAAGTGTCACAGACGCACGCAGCACTGCACTTAATGAAGATTAATAGAAATTAACGAGTACTATAATTAATACTTTTCCAAATATTCCACAAAGGTGATTAATATTCGTCATTTCATAACGTTATTACTGTCCTTGAAGACACCCACAGAAGGCAAAACGTTAGTTATTTTTTCCTACATATTTATGAGCTAGCCGAAATGAATGCATAGAAGGTAACATTCGGTACCTGCAGTGTAGAGGGGATGAAAGGCGCCAGATGTATAGTTAACGGAACGAGCTTTTTAAAAGCAACGTTTGTAATCGATGTATGATAATTAGTCGTGATATATTTCAAATTTTCCACTCCGATGTAAAAAAGTCACTTTTTGCAGACATGTATTTCAATAATGAGATACAGAAGCAGAGCACAGGGAAGACCTTCAGTAGACAAAGAACAGAAACAAAATACATAAAACATGATATCACATTTCCAACACTAATGGTGTACTCTTGCCACCCACTTCGAACTGCCAAACACAGAAAAGACCGTCTCCTACCCTCTCATTCCCTCCCCCCATATAAAAGACCTAAAGAATGTTACACATCAGGCAAAAAGGGGAAATTGCAAAAATGTCTTGAAGAATGACACATTAAAATAGACGACGTACTGATTTACTATCCGCGGGTAAAAAAACACTCAAGATGGCGCTAGTGGGCGGACAGGAACTCCGCTCGACTAAACCGGAGGGAGGCTGGCGTGAGGACGCCTACAGGAGGAGAGGCGTGTATCTCAGGTTGACGGTTGTTGTCATGAGATCGTAGAGAAGGTTTTGGGCGACATATGATTGTGGGTGTCGAGTTTACAAATTCGGCAAAGAGCTGCAGTTTGCGAGCTTTAAATAAAGTAATGAAATCTAGTGAGCAGGGGACTTGAGACATTACCTACTCGCTTAGAATATAACGCCTTACCACGAACACATCCAGTTTTTCTTATTTAGTGATGTTTTTCACCATCACTTAAACCAGGCACGGACGTCTGTACGTAATTTCACTCTCAGTAGCTCAAGATAAGGACGTAACACTGGTTGATTTGGCAGACATCTGTGGATAGACAATGTTGGGTCTGTGTTCCCAATGGGTCAATGGTCTGTTTGATTCGACACGGGAGCCTTTTTACTGACATTACTGGGAGGTGGAACTACCAACACAGCAGCGTGATTCTTTTCAGCATTTCTCAGGTCCAGACTCTTGCATACAAACCAGAAAAAAAAAAAGTATGTTAGAGATTTCAGGCCTGGTAACTTAGGCGTGAGCACAGGCAGTCCTATACAGTCAATAAGATTGACCAACATGTTTCTGTGCTTTGAAATATTGAAAACGAGGACAGTTACACCATGAGAGGAATCACTTTGCTTTCTCTAGACCATTGGGTAGTCAGTAACTTGTCCAAGGACCTTGTTCTTGAAGGAAGCCTGGGGTATCAGCTTCAGCAAGACCACTGGGCCTGTAGTCCATTGTTCACACAACCTTGAGGTTAAAGAAATGCCTCCCGTTCTCAGTTTTAAATGTGCTTCCATGCAGTTTCCACTTGTGACCTTGGGTTTGTGTTTCACTGTTCATTCGGAACAAGTCTGCTGGGTTGATTTTGTCAGCACTTTTGCCAGTGTTGGGTACTTGTATCAGGTCCCCCTGGAATCCCTGTAAGGCCTAAAAAAGTTTGGTTTCATCAGCCTACCAATGTAGGACATTGCCTTAAGCACTAATGTGTATCTGGTTGCTTCATTCTGGACTTATTCCAGAGCAGCAATATGCTTTTTTTATGTAGAATATGTAAATGATGTTTTTCAAAGAACTCCATGAACATAGTTAGGGAAGATGTACCTTTTCTGTGTTTCACATTTTTCATCTTACAGAGCTTGAAATGGATTTAACTTGTGGGCATTCAGGACTTTGCCAGATTCGCTGAAATAGCAAAAAGAAAATGTGAGAATAAACATTTCTTATTTTAGACTGCAAGAGTATGTTTTTCTCTGCTGAAGCCTATCACTGGAGTATCTCA